TTATTTCACAAGAGTCGGGCTGAAGAAGAAGGTGAGATGATAACCAAAGGAACTGTTTTGAGTGTGTAGGGGAGGTTTTGCATAAAACTAACAAGTTGATACTGAAAAGAATATCCTTGTAAGCTTTTGCTTAGTAAATTCTTAGCGAAGAATTGTGGAAGCTATTAGCAATTTCTGGGCCTTTTACACAAGGACTATTCCATATATTCCTCTTTTTCTCTATTCCTCCCTACATATTTTAGAAATGAACACACACACAGATGTGAGCCATGTGTTTCAATTTCTATTTGTCTTTGAGTATTAAATTGTCAGTTGTTGTTTAGTTGCTAAGTTGTGTCCAAATCCTTGTGACCCCATGGACTGTAGCCCACCAGGCTCCTCTGTCCATGGGATTCACCAGGCAAGAACACTGGAGTGGTTTGCCGTTTTCTTTTCCAGCGGATCTTCCCAACCCAGGGGTTGAACCCAAGTCTCCTACATTAACAGGAGGATTCTTTACTGCTGAGTCACGAGGGAAGCCAGTTTAAATTGTCAGGGGCCAGAAACTTTGGAGTGACTTTTGAATCATTCCAAGATGATGTAAAATCTGAAGGAAACTGGAGAAGAATAGGTATCTTTGGGGTGGGGAATCTTTCAGCCACTCCTAATTTGCTAGAAGCAAAAATTCAATGTTCTTTCTTGGTTCTTTCAGATACTGCCTTCATTAAATTGTTCCCTTTAACATTCCAAACTAAAAAGATGAGGAAAGAAATTGGGTTGAGGGAGGAGAAATTCTTACTCATTTATTTTTCAGATACTTATATAGTCCTCTTTTCCTGGTAACTCGAATGAACACAGCCCTGGCTGTGTGTCAGAAACTTACAGAATTTCACCCACAGGCCGGCGGAGTTGGCCAGAATTGAAGACACTAATAATGTTTGTTGAGCATCTACTATGAGCCCACATCTGTATGTCTATGTTATGGGCACATTACATCATCAAATGGAAGGTGATTCTGTTATATCCCTTTTATTGATGAGGGGACCGGATCAGATAGGTTAAGTAACTCACTGAAGGTCAAGATGAACTGTGGCTCTGGGACTGAGTTCACACAGCCAGTCAATCAGGATGCAAATTAAATCTTATTCTGAATCACTATGCTTTCCACTGGGGCTTCCCTCATAGCTCAGTTGGTAAAGAATTTGCCTGCAATGCAGGAAACCTGGGTTCAACCCCTGGGTTGGGAGGATCCCCTGGAGAAGGAAATGGCAACCCACGGTATTCTTGCCTAGAGAACCTATGGACGGAGGAGCCTGGCAGGCTCCAGTCCACAGGATCGCAAGAATCGGACACGACTTAGTGACTAAACCACCACCACCACCATGCTTTTGCATCACAGTGTTCTGCCTTTCAATCCCTTGATAAAAGCCAGGTGTAGAAAGTTCCAACCTAGGAGCATTCTGGGGCCAGAATAAAAGCACTGAAGAAATCAGAGTTTAAAGCAGCTCTCAAAAAAAAAAATAAATAAATAAAGCAGCTCTCTTCAACTGTTTGCTTCTCTTCCCTAGGGATAACTTCAGCAAATATAATAAATATCCAGGACACAGGAGCAATATCTGCATTAGCAGCTCAGAAATATGCATAATGAAAGATGAGATAGCTAGTCTCATCAGACTAAGGTAGTCTAGTCAGGCTCATCTTAAAACTGGTAGTTGAATGTCAGGTACTTGAAGACCTGTGAGGTTTAACAGTTAGGTCCTCAGTCTTTTTTGTATCTCAGTGACTTGCATATCCAAATTTTGTACCAGCGGGCCTCTGAAGGGCAGTGTCTGTGCATCTGTCTGAATTCAAAAGCGATGTTCCCATTTATTTATTCCACTGTGATTCTGAAGTGTTTAACAATTGGACCATATCTGGGAGGCTGGGAATGGATGAACATAAGGGGATATTGCTTCTTTGCGACCTGGTTTCAATAGAGCGTTAAGCAGGGATCTTGCCACAATCTTGTCTGTAAATTCTGTTATCAGAGCTCTCGTGTGAGCAGCATTTCCTCACATCTGTGGTACAGTGATAACTGGCACTGCTCTGTGATGCTGTTGACAGCCCAGGTAAGATCCTAAAAGTGCCTCTAAATCATCAAAGGAAGATTAAATGATGTCGAGCGTCATCTTATTATTCAGGATATCTTATTAAATTCAGGCTCCAGAAGAAGTGACTCATGTTTAGGTTATGCATTTAACTCAACATGTGACTCTCCAGAAGAACTCCCCTCCCTCCTCCAAGTCCCTTGTCTTTGATCAGGGCTAGTGGCATTCAGAAAAAGCCTCTTCTGCGGAATTCTGGGGAAAACCAATTATTTTTCCAGCCAGTGATTGTTTCCAAGTTGAGATTTTTATCTTTTCCCTGCCAACGATACCTCCAATGAGACATCAATCGAGTTTGTAGGCAGAGGCAAGTCATTTGAGTAGTCCAAACTGCAGGCTTTCTGAATGTATTACACACATGCACGCACGCCCTAGAGAGTGACTGTAAGACCGTGGCTGTTGAGAGCAGAGGAATCACCTTGACGGAAATATTAAGTGTTTAAGTGACCATGAATTCACTCCACGATAATCAAGTTGGGGAGAGTGTGAAAATTGCTTTGGATGGATCACAGGTGGTACTCCCGGCCCAGCATCATGCATGTGTCTCTCTGACATTTACACCAATCAGACTTGGGTCTTTGCTTCTTCTGCTATAAGCTCTTGCTCCTCTTTCTCCGTCTGCCCTGTCTCACACCCCCTGAAATCACAGACCTCACCGGCTGGCCTCTCCTCACCTGCTTCCCTGGTCACTCCCACCTGCCTGTGTTCGGTTCTAGGCAGCCGAATAGATGGATGGCAGAGGGGGTGGGGAGCACAGGGTGACCCCGGGACTGCTGCCCTGCGACCCCACCCCCACTTCCTGGGCCCCGAGCGCCTCGGCGGCATAAGGCACAAGTCAGCACCCAGGCTTAGTGGATGAGTGAATGAGGGTGCAGCAAAGGGTCATTCCCGTCCTCCTTCCTTCTCCTTTGCTTCCTTTCTCCAGGACCTTTTGGCAGTTGGTCAGCTGGGACATAGAACGGTGACACTACCCTTCAAGGACCCGCTCAGCCCATGCTCACGCCACCCTGTTCTGCCCAGGGAGGCGCGGAGGAAGAGCCATGCAGATCCCAGTCTGCATCTGTGTTATCTCACCCGGTCTATTCCGTGGCTCCCCCCTTCTCCACCCCAACCCTCCTCTCCCCAACTCCTGCCCCCTCACACCCGCACTCCTAAACAGGGACACCAGCCCCCCCCTCGTTGCCTGGATGCACCAGCCTGTGTCCCCCTCACCCATCACGGGAACAGCCCCCTAACCACCTCTCCCCCCTCATGCCCAGGGTTGGGAGGTGGAGGCCGCATTAAAAGCCTGGTGAAATAGAAGGCAGGAAGCATTTCAGGTGCTCCATTGGGGGTCAGGTTTTATATGTCAGATCTGACAACCCCAGAAAAAAAAGATGATGACACAGATTTCTACGAGACGGAGCTGGAGGCAGACGAGAGGAAGCTGTGTTTTCCTGACTCGGGGGGTAGAGAAATTCTCCCACTGCTCTTGACCCAGCCTTCAGTCTGGGTCTCCAGCTCTGGCCCCTCTAAGCGGGTTGATGAAGAAGGAGGGTGTGGATTGTGTGGCCAGAGCCCCCCAGCTGCAGGCGGTCCCCAAGGCTGTGATTTTTCAGTTCAGGTTCTGGAAGGCCCACAAGCCAGAAATGCAAGAGCGGTCGTCTCTACCTGAGACTAGAAGCCAACACAGAGCACTATAACAGAAGCCCCCCATTCACCCCATGCAGACCTCACAGTGATGCCCTTCAGTGGGGAGGCCGCTCTGTCTTGAAGAGGGCCCGGGGCAGACGCATCCCCCAGCCCGCTGGGTACCTCTCAGCCAACCTATGTCCAAGCTGCTTCTGAACTTGGGTTTGGTTAGAAAATTAGCCATCTTCTTGAAAGAAGCCAATTTGCATCTTCTTTTAAATCAACAATGCAGGTAGAGACACAGAAAGGCAGCTTGGAAAATGTGTAGAATAGGGAGAGGAAACTGACATGCTGGAAGACACAGTCAAAAAGCAAAAAGATCTTCCTGGGATGGAATAATGAACCAAGACCAAGGAGGCTAAGTTGAATAGGGCCCTGGGCAGAAATCCTACATTAGTTTTTTAAAACTGTACAAGCTCACAATCGGGGGAGATGTGAAGTAGTTCATGTGACTATTTCATCTCTGGAGGGGGCTGGGTTTATCTCAGGATTAGAAAAGGGAAGAGAGGAAGAAAACAAAAGGAAAATTTCAGATCCATCTGTCAGGATGACTACACTGGAGAAGACCTTGAGAAGTCTACTTACTTAAGTATAATTCATTCTCAATCCAGGGATACCAGTGCTCTGGTAGTGCTATCTTAGGGGCTTCCCAGGTAGCTAGTGGTAAAGAATCCAACTGCCAGCGCAAGAGATGAGGGTTTGATCCTTGGATTGGGAAGATACCCTGGAGAAGGGCATGGCAACTCACTCCAGTATTTTTGCCTGGAAAATCCCATGGACAGAGAAGCCTGGTGGGCTACAGTCCACGGGGTCACAGAGAGTCGGACACAACTGAGCGCGCGCACGCGCGCATATACACACACACACACACACACACTCACACACACACACACACACACTGCTATCTTACAGCCCAAACAGATGGTAGTGGTCATCATCTGGTAAAGGCTGCCCCTGAGAGCTGAGTGCTGGTGCCAGGCACCCCCAGGCCCAGGCCACCTTTGGGTGGCATGTTGATCTGTCAGTCAACCAGGGGAGGGGGAATTACTTATTTGATACAAGATATGGCTGCCTCCCGAAGAATACACTTTAGAGGACTTCCCTTGGAGAGTCTGTGGATATAGCAGGTGTGTGTCCAGTACATGCCTGTCCTGACTTCAGCGGGAGGCTACATAGCATTTGTAATCATCTCTGCTTTTTTCACAGATATGTGGAACTGACAAACTACTGCGATTATAAAGACTACAGGGAAACTATATTGAGCAAACCAATGCTCTTCTTTGTTCATGTACAGACGAAAAAGGACTCCTCGAAAGGTAGGTGTATAAAGTTTGGGTTTGGTTCTGCCTTTCTGGGCTGTGGACTGTGGCCTGTTGATGAGGCAGAAATTGGATGTGGAGAAAGCAGAGAGGGTGTCAGCTTGTGCTAGGCTGGAAGCTTGATGGGTTAGGCCATCAGCAGAGGCCTGCAGAGCAAACCTGTAAATCACCCTGTGGCAGAAGTCATCTGCCTCTGAGTTTTCTTTCATACTTCCTGTCTTGGCAGGAAGTGATCTCTGAGCCTGCATGGGGTTGCAAAAATGACTAGAGTGATGATGATGATGATAAATCATACTGTCTACCCTATATCAAACACTCCTGTGAGGAACGAGCTAATGTCAATAATTGGGCAACAACCCTGTGGGGAATGTCATCCAAAGGAGAACATTTTTGGACCTGAAAACAGGAACTGTAATAATTATGCTGGGACAGAGGTATAAACTAGAACTGACTCAGGCATAACTGGGATGCCTGGTCATCCTGCCTCCGTGGTACTTATACCATCCCCATTTTACAGGTAAGATAGTGATAGTGAAATTTGCTCAGTCGTGTCCAACTCTGCAGCTCCATGGACTGTACCGTCTATGGAATTCTCCAGGACAGAATGCTGGAGTGGGTAGCCTTTCCCTTCTCCAGGGGATCTTCCCAACCCAGGGATTGAGCCCAGGTCTTCCACATTGCAGGTGGATTCTTACAGATGAGAATCCTAGTTTTCTCTCTCTCTCTCACAGATGAGACAACTGGGATAAAGAAAATAAATGGTATTTGCAAAGCTTGGTCTGGACCCCAAGTGGGGAAAGGGAGGGTGGCGTGAATTGGGAGATTGGGATGGACGTATATACACTATTGATATTATGTGCAAAATAGATAACTAATGGGAACCTACTGTATAGCTCAGGGAATTCTACTCAGTGCTCTGTGGTGGCCTAAATGGGAAGGAAATCCCAAAAAAGAGGGAAGATATATATACGCATAGTTGACTGACTTTGCGGTACAATAGAAATTAACATAACACTATTAAGCAATTATTCTTCAATAAAAATTAATTTTAAAGGAAAAAAAATGCTTGTAGATGCTTTCATGTTTCATGCTGTGGCCTTCAAATTTCAAAGATATTTCTTTATTGTTTCTTCCAGGAAATCAAACTGATAGCAACTAAATTAACTCAAATTCCAATATGAAAATATCTCCATTTGCCCATCTTCCTCCTGCTCAAAGTGATATGTAGAGAGTCACGAGCATAAGTTCTGTGATAGCATTAGAATTTCTTAAACTTACTTCTAAAATGTTCTTAAAAATGAGTCCAAGAGAGTAAAAATGGGCCTACAAATTCCAAAGAGACTTCCTCAAACACTCCCATCCTCATTCAGATTCATAGAGCCGATTCTCTGCTCATTTTGTTCAGAGTCATTCTGATCCCCTGCTCACTTCATAATTCAAAGTCAAGATGCCCTTCTCTGCAGGAGGGCCGGGAACAGATCACAGTGTAACAAGGAATACTTGTTAGCGCATCTGAGCCCTTGATGTCATTTGGCTTGCTGGTACCAGAAAGCCGACAATTCTCTAAGAAGTAGGTCTAGGTCACAAGAGCACTCTTGTTTTTGACTTGTGCTTCCTCATTTCTAGAAAGGACATACGCATTTCTCGTGAACACAAGGCATCCCAAGATAAGAAGACAAATAGAGCAGGGAATGGACATGGTCATTTCCTCAGTGATTGGAGAAAGCTACCGGCTCCAGGTGAGTTGGCCTGTGTTAGTCCAGCTGCCAACAGACAGAAGGGCTCTGGGCATTTTAGGCCAGGATGGAGTCCTTAGAGCTTAACTCTCACTTAACTGAATCCAGACTGACATTTTCTATTGCTGCATTATCACTACCAATAAAGTGAACTTCGTTTCTAGCAACTTCTGAGAAATGGGGTAAGAATAAATATCAGTTTGACCAAGCAGTTCAAAGTCTTGACCTTGAACTTGATGGAACTTGATGCAAAGGCAAAGATTTGTTTGTTTGTTTTTAAATGAAGGAAACTATTTAAAATTATGTCAGAGAAATAAAGGGTGTGATATTTTGGACATTTGGACAGCTGTTAATTCTATAATTGTGTGGTAATGTATGTCTATAATATAATGTTATCATCATATCCATGTAATTAATTAAATGCTTCTTTCTCTTTCAGTTTGATTTTCAAGAGGCAGTAAAGAATTTTTTCCCTCCAGGAAACAAGGTTGTTAATGGAGAAGATTTGAGCTTTGCGTATGAATTCAAAGCCGATGCATTGTTTGATTTCTTCTATTGGTTTGGCCTCAGCAATTCCACTGTAAAAGTGAATGGAAAAGTTCTAAATTTGTCAAGTACAAGCCCAGAAAAGAAGGAGACCATTAAATTATTTCTGGAAAAAATGAGTGAACCTTTAATCCGAAGGAGCAGTTTTTCTGATCGAAAATTCAGTGTAACTTCTAGAGGTATGTTAAAAACTCTCAAGTAGGGGCTTCCCTGGTGGTCCAGTGGTTAAGATTCTGCACTTCCACTGCAGGGATTGAGGTTCAGTCCCTGACCAGGGGACTAAGATCCCACATGCCACGTGGAGGGGCCAGAAAAGTTTTAAAAATGAAAAAATAAATATGACCTTTAAAAAAAGTTCTCAAGTACCCCCAGAACAATAGTTACAGGGTAGAATAATATCACAGGAGAAAAGAATCAATTAATGGAAAAGGAAAGGCCTCTTGATAAAGGGGAAATATAATATCACATTTTTCAGAAAGTAAGAAGTGAGAAACATTTACTACTGAAAGGAAATATAGTAAACTAACACAACACTGTAAATCAACTGCATTCCAGTAAAATTTTTAAAAAAGAATATAGTGACTTTTCCTTTTAGGCTCCTTAAGCTTTTCTCTCAGCAGTCTCACTGTGTGGCACACTCAGAAAATAGTTTTAAAATATGTTATTAACATAGATACATGTTAATGCTCATTGAAGTATTTTTAACAATAATTTAACAAAGAAGAATGATGCTTTCCTGATGTGCATATTCAGGGCAGCAGAATGTTAGGGAAATGTGTTGGTTAGGGGAGGAAGACATGTGGTCAAGATATCCATCTTTAAAAATGTTTGACGGCTTCTCTGGTGGCTCAGTGGTAAAGAATCTGCCTGCCAATGCAGGAGGCACAGGTTCCATTCCTGGCCTGGGAAGATCCCACATGCCTCAGAACAACTAAGCCCTTGTGCCACGATTATTGAACCTGTGCTCTGCAACAAGAGAAACCACTACAATGAGAAGCCCTCCCATCATAACTAGAGAGTAGCCCGCACTCGCCACAACTAGAGAAAGGCCCACGCAGCAACAAAGACTTAGCACAGCCAGAAAATAAATAAAACCAATAAAACTATAAAAAATATATTTGGAAGGTTCTCCAGGGTTTCTAAGACCACTAAAGAATAACTCTTGAGAATTCTTCACTTAACAAACTGCAGGTCATATCTGGTGCCTTCTGGAGTTTCTGTGCAGTAGCTCCTCCCCAGGATTTGGTAAAACTTTTCAGGTGGTATGGCTCAGGCAGTGACACCAGCCAAGTCTTGTCTGGATTTGTCTTCTGCTGAGCCTGCCCTCTATCCCAGGCTAGTCTGTGCTGAAAGGCAACTTCGTTGAACCAGGACTCTCGCAGCTAATTGCAAACAAAGAAAAACACTCAAACAAGCCCAAAAATCCACCAGTCTCTATGAACCTGCACTTAAAAAAAATTTTTTTTAAATACAGATGCTTCACTAATTGTTTTTATTAATAGTTGCTTTCTTCCAGTGTTTCTAGCAAAAATGCTTAAAGTGTGTATTAATTGTTTAGTCATGTCTGACTCTGCAACCCCAAAGACTGTAGCCCGCCAGGCTCCTCTGTCCGTGGAATTCTCCAGGCAAGAATACTGGAGTGGGTTGCCATGCCCTTCTCCGGGATCTTCCGACCCAGGGGTCAGACCCAGGTCTCTTGCTTTGCAGGCGGATTGTTTGCCATTTGAGCCGCCGGGGAAGCTCCTCCCGGTTACCTCTTAGCCTGGAAGCAGCTTCCCTCTGTCTCTGCGTGTCTCTCCCTCCCTCCTGCCCTCCCTCCTCCTCCTTCTCTCCCCCTCCATGTCGCTCTATGTTGTCTGTCTGGGTGTTCCTTACAAAGATGCCTTTATGTCCTGTTCCATCGCAGCCATGTGTGGTGGTGGGAAGAGGGGGAGGTTTATATGCTTATCCTTTTGGGGGAAGATTACCTTGCCTGGCTGTGCCCAAACCAGATGTCCGCTCCTTCCTTGGACACCCTCCAGCCTCACCCACTGGCCAGGGCAGCCTGGGCAGGCTTTCTCTGTTTCACCATCGCTCACTCTCTGTCCTGCAGGCTGCCTGGGCGTCCACTGGTTATCCCGGGGACACTGAGGGGCGTGTGAAGTGGGGCGGTGCTTCCTTGCAAGGTTACTCTGAGCCAGCCCTGGGGCCCCCTTCCACTCCAGAGCAGGGGAGGGAAGGTTCCTCAAGGCTCATCTGAGCCATAATTATGCACCTCAGGTGGTCTAGCCACAACACATCAGTGGCCAGGCAGGCATCTCCACTGACTCTGCCCTGGTGATCAGTTAGAGTCTCCTTCTCAGAAACTGACCTTTGTCCTTGGCATCTGGTCCCCACCTGTGGGCCTTCTGTCATTAAGTGAGAAACGGTGCCTGCATGCCCATTCCATGGAGAGGCAAGTGACTATTCGCATCATCTTGGTGAACAGCAAGTAGCATGTTTCTGCCTTTTGAGATTTTCTGGGGAAGCCAGGATTCTCTGTTCACATTGAAATGGTTACATTGGATGTTGTGTGGGTTTTAAGTACTGTTGGGTTTTGGTTTTGGTTTTCCAGAGATGGTAATAATGCAGGCCCTTTTAACTTTTTTTTCAGGTTCAATAGATGAAGTTTTTAACTGCAATCTGTCACCCAGATCATCTCTGATGGAGCCTCTTGTGGTGGAATTGCCATTTCCATGCGTTCTGGAATCTGAGGAGACACCAAACCCGTTTATCTGATTGGGTTGGATGTTCCACAGTTCCTCCTGCACCCCAGGCCTGTGCCAGCATCGAGGCCTAAGGGGACGTGAGAGAGTGGGGAGGCAGGTACCTCCAGACCCTCTCCTCTGACAGGGCCCCCTTCCTTGCATTTCCAAGGACGATGCCTTGGCAGCCTGATGCAGCTGACTTCAGGATGGGAGGCTTTGGCCCCACGGCTGGGAGGTTCCTCTCCTTTGAATGCTTCTGCAAAGAGCCAGAGGGAAGCAGTAGGCATCATACCCTGGCATACCCTGGCATCCTGGGGGCTTCCCAGGCAGAGCCATCTTACCCAAGTTTTGCCCCAAGATGCTTCCTGTCTCCAGGTTTGGCCCTCTGCTTGGGGACATCCCTGTCTGAACCTAAACCCAGCAAGTATGAGGTTAGCAGTGCCATTGTCTTGCAAACCGGGCTGAGCAAAAAAGTCAAGGACCTCTTTCTCCAGAAGTCAAGCCAGTTTTTCATCCTGCTGGTAGGATGAAACCTTAGGACAAACACCGGAGGTGAGGCTGGATGGAGGACTGGCCAGGATGGTACGATTGTAACCCTGCCCCCCGCTGCCTGAAATCTGAACTCCCTTGGCCTCCCTCTTAACAAAGTGGCCTGTGTAGAAAGAGGCCAGGTGATGCGATACCAAACATGACAGGAGAAGGATAATGTATGCAGCCGTGTCCTCTCTATTAAAAGCACATAATGTCAGTTGGGTATTTTATAAGCTTTTAGCAATCCTAACACTAAAAGCAAAATAGAAGAAAGCTATGCATTACCATAATACATTGTAGTCACATCAATCCATTTTTCATCTCATAGCTACAGTGGCATTCTTCAAAAAGAAAAAAAAAATCATCCTATCTACATACAAAAATCTGCATGAATGAATTGCTACATAGGCTTCTAATGAGAAAGATTTATGGGTCCTGAGTATAATTTTCTTATCCTTTTAAAGAATGTTCCTGTATGATACATTTTGATAGCACCACCCATTGTCCTTTCATTTGTATTTGAAATGGTATGTGCCATATTTGTGCAATTAAATTTTTCCTTAGCATTCAACATAGAATTGATTAAATTTGTGACCAATATGCGTGACCGTTCCATCATGCTATGCAGGTGGTATGTTTGGCCTTGTAACTTACTTACAGTAAGAATTGTGGTTTGATAGCTACTTTCTCAGGAAGAGCCTTTTGGGGGACTTCCCCAGTGGTCCAGTGGTTAAGATTATGTGCTTCCAATGCAGGGGGCACAGGTTTGATCTCTGGTCAGGGAACAAGGATCACACATACTGCAGGGCACACCAAAAAATAAATAAACAAATTTTTTTTTAAAAAAGAGCCTTTTTTGAATAACAAGTCTATGAAGTATTTGGAGGAAAAAAGTGATGCTGATATCTCAGAAAAGGGGAATCTTCCTTAATAACAGAAAATGATAAATGTTTATTATTCAAATGCAGTGCAAAATGAAGAGTATTAACAATCAAATAAGTTTTATACCAGAGCACACAAATCTTAGGTTGGATATCCAATAGTATATGCTTCCCAAGGGGAATAGAAACTCTATTCACAAAAATTGACAAAGTCCATTTTTTTTGAAAAGCCATCAGTCATCACTCTAGGAATGGACTAAAGATCTAAAAGTTTTTTTTTATCATTAAAATTTTTTTATCAGTTGACTTGGAACCAAGTGCATCCGCTCATTCGATATGCACTTAGCAAAGTTTCATCCACTGCCTCTAAGGAAATGTGTGTGTGTGGTTAGTTGTTCAGTCATGTCTGACTCTTTGAGACCCTATGGACTTAGCCTGCCAGGCTCCTCTGTCCATGGAGTTCTCCGGGCAAGAATACTGGAGGGGGTTGCCATGCCCTCCTCAAGGGGATCTTCCCATCCTAGGAATTGAACCCAGGTCTCCCACACCATAGGTGGATTCTTTGCCATCTGAGCCACCAGCGAAGCCGAGGGCACTTGCTTTCAAGGACCATGCAGTCTTGTAACAGACAGGTGCTCAGCTAGTAAGAACAATAGTTATCAGTGCTCAGGGACAGATTCAAAAATGAAAGCATCTAAAATGCTTATGATCCAGTTTTGGTGATAAAATTAATGACATTTAAGTGTAAAATTTAGTTTTAAAATAAATATGTAATGATTGATTTATCCAAGTGACAGATTATGGAAGCTCTCAGTGAAAGAGTCACCTTGGAAGCTATTAATTTGTTCCAAAAGAATGCAAATCCAGACACTATCTACAGAAGGAGGGAGTTTTTCTCTTATTACCTCATGGTTAGAGTTTGAATTTTGGCCAAAGGATAACACTGCCTAACTCGATTGCCTACCTTAATTATCAGCTCAAATGTCTTCTGTTTCAAGTACTCAGTCTATCTTCAAAGAGCAAAGTTATACCTGTATTTAAGAAATTCAAAAGAATGTGCATCAATTTCTGAACGGAGTTTCTAACACATTTCAAAGATGCTTTAAGCAATAGCAGTGTCATTATAATAAATGATTACTTTGAAGAAGAGAACATTCATTTGGAAGGATAAATGCTGTTCCAACAGATTTTAAATGAATGTTCACACTTGATACTCATGACTTGAATAAACGAGAGAACCAACAGTGTAAGGCATGAATAATTACTCAAGAGACAACAGAGATGGCCCAGGAGGAAGGTGACATATATGTATGATTGACAAGGTTTTGATAGAATGAAAGGTCTGAACTTGCTGTTGTGGCTTTATTTGAATAAAATGTGAGTTTGGTGAGTGGCAAGTTAGAAGCAGAGCTTAGAATTTACCCTGTTAAACTGGACTGTCCTAATAGAGACTAGTATGGGATTTTCTTTTCTGGATTTTTCAATGGAAGGATAGCAGTCATTCTTGGATTGCTTAACCACAACCCCTCTTGGTGGCAGACAGGAACCACGTGACCTCAGGAAGACCTGGACCTTGTTCTACCCTGGGCCATCCTGGGCCTCTGGCCTCTGGCCTACTTGCAGATTTAGGAATGGCCAGGCCCCACAGGTGTGGGAGCCAATTCCTTAAACTAAGTCTCTCTCTGTACACACACACACTGTTGGTTCTGTTTCTCTAGAGAGCCCTTAATAACACAGAGTCCATCACAGAAGTTGAGGAAATGTTTTACAAGGTAATCAATCAGCTAAAAGAGAAATGGCAATTTTTTTTTTTACATGAAGAGACTTGAATAAAAATAAAAGCATACCACATAGTAACAGGAAGTCTTTTGCCCAAATATAACAAGCAAGTCAGAAAAACCCCACTCATCATATTGGTACTCAAAGCACTTGGCATCACTGAAGAATATCTGTGACCTTCTCTGGGCTTTTGGAAGCAGCCACCAGCAGAGTCTCCCACCAACTCTTTCCCACTCCGTCTCACTCCAAACTCACATCTCATGTTAACCGAAGCAGAGCTTCTCAGGCTGGAATGTGCCCTGGAATCTCTTGAGGGTGAGGCTGCAGATCCTGATCTAGGAGGTCCGGATGAAGCCTGAGCATCTGTGTTTCTAACAAGCTGCCAGGTGATGCCAAGACTGCTGGTCCTGGGACAAGGCTCTAGATCTATCCATCTCAAATGTTGTGAATCACCTGCGGGTCTTATTAGAAAAGCAGAATCTTACCCTCTCCCCACGCTCTGCCCTGACCTGCTGACTCAGAACCTGTGTCCTCACCAGATGCCCAGGTGGTGACAGACATGCTCCGTTTGGGGACCACTTCCTGGCACATCTACTTCCTCCAGGCTGGGGCCGCCTTGGCCTATGGACTTGGTTACTCTTCTCTCCTCTCAGGTAATAACCCTCTACCTGACCTGTTCCCTCTTCCCCCGCTAGACTCTCTTCTCTTACACGGGCACAATTCAAGTGTTCTTTCCTTGATGTCTCCTCCCTCCACCACCCACGCCTGTCCTTACTTCTTTATCTCATGCTTCTTCTGTACATGTGTGTGGCAGACAGAAATTGATTGTAATCCTTTAAATTGGGAATAACCAATTAACCTTTAACCCATTCGCTGCAACTACTCTCAACTGGTTTGGTGTGTGTGCCAAGTCACTTCAGTCGTGTCTGACTCTTTGTGACCCCATGGACTGCGGCCGGAGAGAATCCTCCGTCCGTGGGATTCTCTAGGGAAGAATACTGGAGTAGGTTGCCATTTCCTTCTCCAGGGGATCTTCCTGACCCAGGGAACGAACCTGCCTCTCTTACGTCTCCTGCATTGGCAGGTGGGTTCTTTACCACTAGCACCACCTGGGAAGCCCCCATTTGGTTTTGATCAATTCAAAACTCTTTCAAAGGCGTATTGGAAGGCTCGACGTCTCAGTTTCTGTGTGACTGACTCACCTTGGCAGGGGATATGGAACCTTGCCTCTCTTACTCCTGGAAAAGAGGATTTACCTAAACTGCCGACCTGCCCCTTCATGCTGCTGCCTAATCCACTTCAGTGCACTCTCCTCACATTCAGGGGGAGCCCAAGCTCCCCAGAGTGGCTGCTGGGCCTTCCGCCAGGCTCTCCCCTCGTCTCCCATAGGAAGGCAGCACCTGGCTCTCAGGGGTTTGAAGGACACAGGCCGTTCCCGGCTTCTGGGGCCTCAGTCTTTGGTGCCACTCCCTCTTCAGCTGGTGGCCCTCCGAGCACCCTTGGAAGCTTGATCCGTCATTCAGTCGTGTCTGACTCTTTGCAACACCGTGGACCGCAGCACACCAGGCTTCCCTGTCTTTCACTGTCTCCTGGAGTTTGCTCAGACTCATGTCCATCGAGTCAGTGATGCCACCCAGCCATCTCATCCTCTGTCGCCCCTTCTCCTCCTCCCTTCAATCCTTCCCAGCATCAGCGTCTTTTCCCATGAGTTGGCTCTTCCCATCAGGTGGCCAGAGTATTGGAGCTTCAGCCTCAGCATCAGTTCTTCCAATGAATATTCAGGGTTGATTTCCTTTAGGATGGACTGGTTTGGTCTTACTCTCCAGCTCAGCTCAGGAAATTCCTTTTAGGTTGTTTTCGCTGCGTCCCACACACCCACCCACCCCAAAGTTCCAGTAATAACCCTTAATGCCTCTAACATACATCATATGGCTCACTTCCGGTGCTCAGTCAGTATCTGCTAAGGGAAAGAAGGGAAACGTTTCTACTTAATCCTTGAACGGAGTTGCCTCAAGTGAAAGTGAAATTGAAGTCGCTCAGTCATGTCTGACTCTCTGCGACCCCATGGACTGTAGCCTACCAGGCTTCTCCGTCCATGGGATTTTCCAGGCAAGAATACTGGAGTGAGTTACCATTTCCTTCTCCAGGAGATCTTCCCGACCCAGGGTTTGAACCAGGGTCTCCGCGTTGTTGGCAGACGCTTTACCATCTGAGCCACCAGGGAAGTCTCTAGTTGCCTCAAGGAACCCAAATTCAAAGGCAAGAAGAGCACTGTACTGCTCACAATGAAATGGACCTATGAGAACCATCCATTTTGAAGCAGAAATGAAAGACTACAA